CCTAATACTGAAGAGAGCTCTGTTTGGAGAACAGGATACAGGCTTACCACAGAGGATGTCCTAACTTGAATCATTGGCTTTGGTCTTCTTAGAGAGAAGGGTCATAAAGAACTACATTCTTGCATGCGCCCAAGACAATGCAATCTGACAGTAAATCAGAGTGACAGACGCATGGTCCAATGGCCTTGTTTCCAGTAATTACCTGACTTGTCGCTGCCCCATAATGCTCTTCATTATGCCCACCCCTCTCTGTCCCATGCATCCAAAACTCCCACGTTTGCTTTGTTGATGGGAGCCTGCTGCTCTTTTTCCTAGCATACCTTATCAGTTTTCATTAAACCACTTTATCACAGTAACTCTGTTTAACTCATAGCACCAGTGTAAGCAACCTGGGTTTGAGGTGAGAATAAGCTAAGGAGGACATTGAGATATGAGGGTGTGCTTAACTAGTTTTATTTCATGGCAAGCTCAAGGGGCTGTGTTGGTGAAATAGCTTCCCTCTCACATAATATGTCTATGTCTTAAAGACATTTGAATGTAAACAACAAAAAGTAAGAGAAGTCAGTCTTTATTGACTCCAATGCACGTGTCTTTTGCAGACGTAGGTTTAGGTCCAAAATTAACTTAAGGCATCTCATAAAAGGAAAATTTCCCCCACACATACCACCTGCAGTCCCCTACATCTTCCAAAAAGCTTGTCCAGGGGACTGGGGATCCTGAGCACAATATCCTAGAGTGGGTCCATTCTTTTGGCTCCTGGGAAACGTACTTAGCTGTGGTGGCACAGTGTTAAGCCACTGTGTCTAGCCACCCTTCTAATAATCCAAATGCCCTAATTCACTGGAGACTACTTCAAACTAATTACAGCTTATTATGGGGTGATCATGGCTATAGCTATGGAAGATATTTGGGACACAGGTATTCACAAGGTTACCTTCCAGTTTCTAAACCATGGTTTGGTAAGAGGAAATGGTATGCCTTCATCAGGCCTGTATCTCTGGGTTTATGGCTACACTAAACTTTCAGGACTGTTTATAGCCCTTTTGTAATAAGCATCTATTGCAAGCTGTTTACATATCTTTTTGTTAAGCTTCCTGTCTTGGTGTTTAGGAGATGTCATAGTTTATAGAAACCTGTGTAAATAATTAGTCATGTCTTCTGACTCCCCCCACCCCAGAGATTAAGGAGTAGTTGGCAAGATACTATTATGTTTTTGTGCAGGGGTGGGGACTTTCTCTTCTGTGTGGGTGTAAGGCATAAAGTTTACATGTGCCTGATATTTGGGGGACTGGAATCAGAAATGTGTAACAGGCCAAGATAGAATTTGGAAGCTACTTTAAAAATCAACTCAAAATTTCATTTAATCATCTTAGTTGTCCACTGCAGTATTATGTGTGGACTTGTCAATGCTTCTTCACAAGAACAGGAGGACAAGCTAGTAGACAAAATAGGCTTTACAAGGATGACGGGGTGTTTTTTATGAAAATGGAAAGGATTATTTGAGAATAAGTCAAGTGGACTACCTTTTTTCTGCCAATGGATGCTATATTGAGGAATATGGGGAGAGTTAGGATGGATAGCATTCAGTATGCATGAACTGAGAATGGTGTGCCAGGATGAGACCCAGGACCCAGTATCACTGGAAAGCTGCCATGGTTCACATGCTTCAGCTGACCAGGCTGCCACTGGGAGTGACCCTGTTGCCACTGTTTGAGTCCCTGCTAGTACTTGACTTCTTTAGATGCCTGCAGCTGTTGCTTCAAAATCCCCTCAATCCAATGCCATGAACCAGTGCATGCTTCAAAACACTGAACTGTGGACACTTTTAAACTGTGGTGCTCCTCTGGTTGCTCTTGTCAGAGCACTGTGATGGCTGCTGCTTGATGGGCAGCAATGAGATCTCATGGGTGTTGCAGGACCTTATTCTGTAAACTGATTCTGGCCCCAAGACAAGATCATAAAATTTTCTAGATAGGGTTATAGTTTGAGAAATAGGCATGTATATTTTGGTGTTCTTGCATTAGAGGAAATGTGGTTAGGGTTAGGGAAACCCTAACCCTAATTTTTCAGATCTCTTCCATACACAAAAGAATCCCCTCTGGAACACCATAGGTGAATGGGATTTGTGAACATTGGATTCCTTTCCTTATGCAAGCAGAACTGCTTTCCACTAGTGCAAAGTCAGCACTGGATACAAATACAGTCCATTTACACTGGTGTGTAAATCTCAAAGATTGATGCATATTATTCTGGTTGTAGTAAAATTGCTGTGGATTTGTAGTAAGTGAAGGAGGATTCAAAACCTGGATCAAGTCATATCCTCAAATTAATGTTGGATATATAGCAGGCTGCAGACAACTGATCTAGTTGAGGACTTAACCTACTTATAGTGTGGCAGCAAGAGAAACTGATGAAATATAAGGGCTGGAAGGATTAATACCCAGATCTAGCCCCTTCTACAAAGGAACATGATTATCATTTGAAATGCTTCCACAACATCTCCATGTTGTTCTTTCCTTAACTTACCTTTATCAAAAAATTAATTGGTAAACAACTGTTTTTTGTATAATCTGATTTTGTTCATGCAGAGAGACAGATATTTTTTTAAGTTCTTACCAATGGAGAAAATGCAACTGTTATAAAGGAAGATTAATGTTGATAACAAAATCTACATCATACAGCAGCTTAATCACAATATTGTTTTTGCTTGAATCCATTGGCTACCTGTGAATTAGGGACTCACAGTAGATAGTAGGATATATCCTTCTACTGTCAAAAAGGTTGGATGACCAGGATGCAAATTTAAAAGCTTTATACATGACACCTGTTATCCACATGGGAATGTGGTTTTCAGTAGACTCCAATTATGCATTTAACTGAGAATTATTATCCCTCTACTATTGACCCTTCATGGCTTCTTGGAAATTTCATGATGACAGTGGTTTTGTTACTTGGTTGCATTATCCATGTGAAGAGAAACAAATTGGTCATGTTTGATTTCACTCAGGTATTCATTTTCCAAGTATTAAGTTCATTCAGTCCTGTTTCCACATTAATTTACTAATTGCTTCCAAGTCAGATCCCAGACTGTTGCCTCAGAAGGATACCATGATTGATGGTAGCAAAAGCCATCAAGATATCTAGAGAAACAACAGTGACCAAATTCTTTTATCCAACTCCCAGCATAAATTGTTTACCAGGGCAATTCAAGTAGCCTCTTCTCAATAACCAGGTCAAAGTCAGATTGAAATGGAAACCCCTTCTTCTCACTTCTCATCCAAATCCCTAGAGATAAGAAGTGGCCACATACTCTAAAATGAAATATTGGAAACCATCCTCAAATTATCTATTCATTAAAGATACATTTATTGCTACCCGTACCCCACTTATCCAGTCTTCTCACTCCCTGCCACTTTTATCAGCCAGGAAGAGTAAGAGTCTACCTTTCCAAGGATCCTATTTTCTTGTACAAATTGGAAAAAAATACCTTAAGCTGGACAAGCAGAGATCAAAGCTACTTGAATTCTTTTAACTATGGTATCCAAGTTAGCAATGTTAGAATTAAATTTCTCTGCATTGTGTCACACAGATTGGTCACAATAGCTTATTGACTGGCCCACATTTTCTTCTCATAGACCAGAGTGCAATAGCTCTTTGTCTATCCAAAAAATAAAATAAAATAACCTGTTGGTGATTCTGTGCAAACACAATAATGCCAGAAAGTGTGGGGAGCATTTCTGCCTTGGTTTTGAAATGAGATCTAGTCCATGTTTGGTTGAGTTCATTCTGAATTTTCCACCAGTGTTGCCTTACTTCCTGTCCCACTTGTTTCATCATCTCCAACTCACTGGAAAACCAAGGAGCTTTTATGGTTCTATTCAGCAAGTGAAGGAGATGTGACTCTGGAGCAATCTTGTCAACAACTCTGACCATTTTCCTATTCTAGAGTACAACCAAGGTTTTGACAGAAATACCTGCTGAGCTGACAGGGAAAACTTAAAGAGCTGTCAGAAAGCCATCCAGATCCATCAGCCTCTTGATAGCTTCACCACTCTACAAAGTACTATGAAGTCTCAATCCCACCATGCAGTGACAGCAGAACTATAGAATATTTGATCACCTGATCATCACTGCCTCACATAATGCAAAGCAAATGAACAAAACAGATCTAAATTGTGTCTTGCTGAATTAATGGGGCCAGACATTAATTGGGGCAGAGGTCTGAAGTCTTTTTACAGTATGAATCAAGCATAATGCAAATGCTGATGTGGAAATATGTCTTGAAAAGAGTTTAATATCTCATGCAGAATACCTTACTCAGATGAAAGCATATCTTTTTTCCAACTTCTTGGAGCTGAGCAAGTCAGGATGTGAAACCACAGTTTTACTTCTGGGTAGCAGTAGAACTGGGTTTCTCAGCTCCACTCTTTTTTCTTAAAGGGAGTGGTGGGTTAGAAAGCTTCCTCCTGTGTGTCTGCCAACTTTTTCATCCATTTTTCATCATTTGTCTTTAACAAGAACTTGTACAACAGACATAACAAGGTAATGATGTTTACCTCTGTGCTACAGAAAACAATCTGCTGATTAGTTCTGAGCAAGCTGCTGCTAAAAACATGCCAAATTGTTTTTTTCTTGGTAATTTGACAATCTTAACTTTTGAATATCAAATGTGGACAGGTGTGGAAAGTTCTTTCAAGATGTGAAAGAAAAAAGTGGGTCTTAGATGAACCAACCCTGGTTCCTAGACAATTTTACTGGCTCCTGATGTTTGAGAAGTTTTGTACCCTGAAGCTGCTTGTTATCATTTCCAGCTGGGTCAGATCTCCACTTAGACATATGAGCATAGGGAGCACATAGCAGAGTTGTATCTGAGGTGATGTCACTTTAAAAGTCTGGAAATGGAAGCACTTCATTCATAAAACTTCCAGTGTTTCTCTTTATCTATAACCTCTAAAGCTCCCAGTTTTTTTTATTTTTTTCCATAACTACTAACAGCTTACTTTCTTGGTGTGTGCTGAAAATCAGTACTGTTTGCTGATGCCACCTATCTGCAGAATTGAGAATTTCCCACAGTTGGTGTCTGTTGAGGTCAGTGAAGACCCTGGAAAGGAAAATCAGACATTTGAAGACAGTTCAAATGTCAAGATTTCAAACTTCAATTCAAGAAGAGATCAAATGTTATTAAAGCTGTTTTAGGCGTTGGCTGTATTTATTTATAATGACAAGACCTGGAAACTGCAGGCAGGGCTTGTCGTTATGTGTGAATTCAGTTGCCAAGGTAAAGCTAAGTACATTTGGTTTTCATGACACCCTGTGGAGAGTCAATGGTTTCTTTTAAGGTTTTCACAGTTCACCATTGCTTGTCATCGCACGTGCCTCCAGTTACAATGTTCCTGCATGGTTTTCATATTTCCGCCAGTGATGGCAAAAGCAGCCGTGGCTGCAGCAGGCTCTCCAGCCACCAATTTCAGTTGGCCTGTTCTGCCTAGCAATTGCTGACTTGATGGCAGCAGTGTAGTAACGGGCTGTCTCCACTCTCCTTGTCTTCCTTTCCAGGACATGCTGTCTGGTGCACAGTCACAAGGGTAGAATCTCACAGGCAGTGGAACATCATGCTGCACCACCACCACTAGCAACTACCGCAGAAACAACCATGCCTAGCAATCTATACAGGGACTGGATCTGACTGAATTGCCGACTTAAAACAAACCTTTGTCAGGAAACAACCTTAGCGTAAAAATATGCATGCTTTTGGGTTACAGAGGAATCTTGCAGAATGCAATCATAGATCGTTTTCAACTTCATAATGAGGAAAATAAGCTACCAATACGAACGGTGTCAGTAATTTCTAATAGCTAAATCACAAATGTAATCCATATAGTACCTTGATCAGAAGGGTCATATGTTTCACACCCCTGTATTACACAATCGTCCCTTCAGTTTTCAGGTGTGAAACATATGACCCCTCAGATGTCAGATTGAAGTTCTAGAGCTGATGGAAGTTATAGTCCAACAATATCTGCAAACCACACATTCCCAACCCTGCTGTAATAGAAAGTCACGTAAACAGAAAAAGGCAGTTTCTTATTTAATGTACAGAGGTACCTCGGCTCATAAATGCCTCAGTTCATGACCAAATCAGGTTGCGAACAGAAATTTCAGAAAAATTTTGCCTCAGGTCGTGTACTCCGCATTGGGTGACGATCGCGACTGTGCCTATCTTCCCTGCATGGGTGCGATCGCGGTCATGCTCGGGGGGGGGGGGGGTAGCTGCAATCGCAGTTGTGATCTTTGTTGTTTTTTGTCACTATGTTTCAAATTTTTGTGATAAAAGTGGTTACAGAAAGGATTAACCTTATTTGCACTGAACATTATGGGGAAATTTGACTTGGTTCATGATCAATTTGGGTCACGACCAGAGTCATGGAATGGATTAAGTTCGTGAGCCAAGGTACCAGTGTAAATAGAAATTGATGGATCTTTAGATAACTTGAAGGCATATCCCTGCCTCCCTAGATAGAGAATCTGGCTAGATGTAGGGAGCAGACAAAATGGGCACATGCCAAATTATGTCCATGCCAGACCAGACCCCCAACCTGGACAAGTTCCTGCTTAATACTAATCACGTTTTCAATCTTATTGATTTAAACAGAAATTAAATAGGGCTTAATAACTTTAGCTGAACTGTGCTCATTTCATATTAGTATCCAGATTAAAAATTATGCACATCACTTGTGTGTACAACTGTGTTTATATCCCCACATTTTTCATACTCTGTTTTGCTTGAGATTTTATAAAAATGAAGAACTTGTAATTTATTTTTGCATAAGAACTGGGTAGACAGTATTTAGTGAATTGAAGCCATGAGAAAAGAGCAAGTAGTCATTGGTGGCAAAGAAAATCAGTAGTCACAACTCTGAAAGCTGTAAATTTAAATTCATATTTCAGTCATGAAATCATCAATCTTTAAATGATTGTTTTGCAGAAAATTATATTCATGACAAGATTAGATCGGATTAGATTAGATTCCCAAGCGTGTGATTCTTTCAAACTCAGAGGCAGCAACTTTCCTTTAATATGGAATTTCTATCAAAGTCCAATTACCATTTGTCATCCTTCTTGCCTTTAATTGTCTGTGTTCATGCCACACTTGGCTAGGCTACCTTTATCATTGCTTGCTCGCTCTCGCGCTCTCTCTCTCTCTCTCTCTCTCTCTCTCTCTCTCTCTCTCTCATACATTAAAGCTTACTTTTTGTTATCTCCAGTTTTTTATTAGCTGAAGGAGGGTAACTTGCTTGCAAGTCTTGATTTAAGGAAAGATCATATTCCCTCAAGCACTGGGCTTCAAAGTAGGAATGATTATAGATGTTTTAATGTTCTTCCTATCCCTGTGGCATGCCCTCTGGTGAATGCAGACAGACAAGATACTTTTTATCACAGTGAGCAAAAGTTTTGCGGTTCCATTTATTGTACACATCTCAAAGCAACTTTCCAAGCCTTCTCAGATGAGTTATGTAAAGCCCAGCATCCCAGGACAAGCAAAGTATGTTTGTTATTCATGCAACTTTACCTGGATGCAAAGGGTTTAATATTACTTTTGTAAATCAGCTACCCTGCTGGTCAATAAATGACAGTGAGTGCTATTTAAGATATAAATGTTCATTCGCCAAGAGAACCAAAATCCAAATATACATTAGTAGTGTGTTTTGGGAGAGTTTCCTTTATATTTTTTTGTCCATTTAAAATCTGGTAACTTGTCTACTGTTGGAGAAGAATCCTGCAAGTCCCTTGGACTACAAGGAGATCAAACCATTCAGTCTTAGAGATCAACCCTGACTGCTCTTTAGAAGGCCAGATACTGAAGATAAAACTCAAATACTTTGGCCACCTAATGAGAAGGAAGGACTCACTGGAGAAGAGCCTAATGCTGGGGACAACTGACAGCAAAAGAAGAAGGGGACAGCAGAGAATGAGGTGGCTAGATGGAGTCACTGAAGCAGTCAGCGTGAGCTTAAGTGGACTCCAGGGGATGGTGGAGGACAGGAAGGCCTGGAGGAATGTTGTCCATGGGATCGTGATGGGTCCGATGCGACTTCGCAACTAACAACAACAACTTGTCTATAGCCTGGTTTAAACCCCCTCTGATAATTCTTGCTGCCTCCCAAGGCACACATTAATTAAGTCAAGGCAAAAGAGGTGCAGATAGTAGAGTTCACAGGAAATATTCAAACTGATCTTTCCATTCAGAAGAAGGGGTTCTCTTTGTTTACTGTTTATTTGTTTGTTTGTTTGTTTCAAAGCACTGCTTTGTGCAAAATAAATGTCAGGCTGTGTTTTAAAGTATTGTTTAATATTCCTTCTGTCATTGCCAAGACCAGAGGCTACACATCAAACTTGTAAGCTGACACTTTGCATCACCGGTTTGGATCTAGATTTAGGCACATGCAAATAGGTAGCAGAAAGCAGCCTTTCTTACCCCACTCTTCCCTGTGGGGAGTTCCTTCATGCTGAAAATGCTATACAGATGGTAAGGAGATTTTGCTGCATGGGTTGTGTGTGGTGTGTGTATGTGTCGTTATCCCTGAAAATTGGGCAAGCACCATCCAAGAGCAAAGCCCTTCAATCAGCAGAAGGTAGAACTGCCACAGTGGCCAAACGTCTGGTTCTGTGGAGACTCAAATGCTGCATTTTTTCTCTTGGGTCTACCCACTCAGCTTCTTGGTATCTGTGCTCTATGCAAAATCTTTTGCTGTTGCCCCTTCCTTGATCCTCTGCCACCTTGTTGCCATTATTTATGCTTAAGATTGCCTCATCCTCTTGTCCTTCAACCCCGATTCTTTGCTATTTAGTGACACTTCTACATGGCACTGTCAAGTGTTCAAAGTATATTACATGTATTGTCAGGTTGGAATCCTTCCAACAACCATGCAAGGCAGAGATGCAGAACTTCAGATCCACCATTCTGTGGATTCCTGTTCAGCCTTCCAGAATTCCCTAAATGACCATGACCCCTTTCCCTCACTGAACAGTCGCTTGGTGGTTTCTTGGCTTTTTCAGTTTTTTCTCCATTCTAAAAAAATTAAACTCCCTCACCTAAGGCTCATCTGCTGGCAATAAGTTTTAAGCTAAAATGTGTTGAGGTTTATGGTGTTGCTCCTTTTGTCTTCACCTTTACCCACCACTGGAATACAGCTGCTGACTGCTTCTCAGAAATGAATTTGGTCCTTGGGCTGTAAAAGGTTCTGCATCCCTCCTAGTAAGACAAGTTCATATGACAGGTAGAGGAAGTGGGACTTTGCCTGAGAGGCAGACACTTGGCACTCAACCTCCCTAGTCTAATAGTTATAAAATATGAGTAGGATATAAATTGCTCAAATTTGGCATTTGTTTAAAGTATTCTAATATCAATTCTACAAACTTGCAGTTTGAACTACATTGTATTCGCTTTGACTTCTGCTTTCTGTGTCTTCTTATTATTCTAAACAGAGTAATTTATTTTGAGTTGTTGTAGTAAGCAAAGAAAACAACAATCAAGTGTGCTGAACCAGGATGGGGGATATACAGTATGGCATGCAGCCAGCATAAGGAAATACTTATTCTAGCTGTCTTAGTCTGTCTAATCATCTTATAGAAACAATTTCTCCCAGGTAAGCCACCAAATGACAATGCAGCCATCCCAAGTTCATACAGTTCTTGGTAGCATCTGCTGAGAAGAATGATGCACATAATTCCCTCTGTAGCAAGCACCATTGAACCGCTTTACATGTATCCATATCTGTGTGCTCACTGTCAGCTAGATGGCTCTTCTAGGGATCTTGGGATTACAATTTTGCACCTCTTGGATGAAGGTACAGATTGGAATTTAGGTATCCACCTAATTTCACACTTTTTCCAAAATCGTAGGGCAGTGCTTAGCTTTATAATAATATAAAATACACATTTAAATAAGGTATTTTGAATAATTCATTTTTAAATGTGCATTTAATGTGGAGATCAAATGGAACAAAAGTATGGGTGAAAACACATGAAAGTTATACAGGCATTGTATCTGGAATGAAATTATGATATGCTTACTCCTGCACTCTCTCTGATGATTTGTCA